AGAATTATCATTACAGAACAAAACCAGAAAATATGATTGTACTGGTCATACTGTAGAATATTGTGCAATCTTGAAAAATGTGGAGATGCAAATGATACAGTTGTCATCTCAATGTATCAAAATCAGCTCTGATTATGTCAGTGTGGTTCCTCCTTTTCACCACAAAGTTACACAAAACACTTTTTGTTCAGGCTTGTATCAACATGTCAGAGAACCTGCAATTATGTGAAACACATAGCACATTAGTATAGATTACAACAGCCAATCATTCTGCAACCAAAATATCAGGATCCAGTGGTCTGAACACTTACTGTATGATTTTGTGTTTCATAATAAGGGCACAATATTTTATCTAGCACACACATACCTCATATTTATTATGACAGGACATATATGGCAAAATGCACTTGCGCACATTTATAAAGGGACAGAAAAAAAGTGTGTAACATTGAGACACATTGAAAGCCCATCCTGTGAGGTTTGTGACTTTGCTCCCCCAAGATCACACTTTTATGAGTAATAATACATTGCAAAGAAGAAATAGTTAAAAACATGCTAAGAAAATAAGTCATATCACCTATGTGAGGAAACAGTAACACCACCAATAGAATAGAAAGAGGTTTATGTGACGTATTCAGAAAATGGAGGGTTTTATGTTTTAGCTCACCTGAGCAGCCAGATGAATCCTAAGTAGTTTAAAGGAAGACAAGAGAAGAAAAAAGAGAAAAGAAAAAAGGAAGGGGTCATCTGGAGGTATAGGTTTCTAGAGACAGACACATACAGCAAATTGCACTCTTGTAGATACAATACATGGATTATGATATGTATCTTAGAGAGATGATGAGAAAAAGAAATCACTGAGGTTACTATTTCTCTATGTCCCTCTCTGGTGAGCACTGAATACTGTTGGTGTCTGTATTTAATCCTAGAGCATACGGTGTCTGTATTTAATCCTAGAGCATCTTTGAACACAGAGATGCCTCTTTTGCTGTCCTCAGGTAAAACTGAAAAATGCTGATGCTTTCTCAGAAGTTCCAGTGTGATTTTATTAAAAAGGCTGGCCTATTTAACCATCATACATTCAGCATAAAGAAAGCAGGCAAAATAAAATCTAAGTTATTTAATCTCAGATATTTAACAGCAAAAGCTTTCTGCAAGTGAGATTGGGTGAGAAGTATTCTCTCAAATAAAGCACAGCTGCTAAGCCTGGTGTTGACCTGCATAGAGACAAGAGAAAACACACTTCAGGAGACTATTTTTCCTTGGCATTTAAATGGGTGAGCTGCGTCTAATGGGTCTCTTTCATTACTGTTAGTTGTCTTCAACTAAGCAAATATAGAAAAGGCTTTTATGTTTTTAAAAGGATAATAATTTAAAGGCAGAGAAAATTCAGGAGAAGCACTTTTTTTTTTTCCTCCTCTTGTAGCTTCTACACAGTAGCATAAAAAAAAAGCTTTACTATTTTGAACTAAAGGAAAGAATATGAGAATTTTACCCAAGGATAAAAATGCAAGGAAAAACCTTCATTTTACCATTAATAACAAAATGCTAGAGAGATCTTTGCCATTGGGATTTGTTGGTCAAACAATAAATCTGAAGCAACTTACTAAATGAGTTCTCTAGGGAGCCCTCTCTAGATTCAGTACTTTAGTGCTAACAAGATTACTACAGTAAACTTTCAACTGATATTCATTACATTACATTTCTGCAATGATTTTTCTGGCCTTTTCAAATGACAGGACTAAAATCGTTGTGTGCGTAGGGTTTCAGTATAAAAAAAAAGTGCTATTTGACAAAACAAATGCTAGCATTACAGAGCTAAATTCTCCTCTTATTCACAGAAAACCTTGTTCCTATAACTCAGAGCAAAATTTAGCCTTTAGTTTGGCTTTACGCATTCAAAATACTGTCTCTAACAAGTTACGTACTTGTAAGACATGAGTTTTGCTTGATTCGGGGTAAATAAGGATATAGATCAACAAGAGCATTTCCTACAAGACTTTTGGGAGGGTGCTTTTAAAATCTTCTACAAATGTGAATGAATTTCACCTCACAGCCCTGTGTAGCAGAGAAGGAAATTGCCACCGAGAGGCTAAAACACAATTAAATACCTCCTTTAAGCAGGTCTGCTAGAAGTGCAAACCAGTAAAGGTTGTGCCTGAAATTGAGAAATGCTAGGCTTTTGGACCTGTAATCATGAGAAAAATTCAAGGTGTATCAAGTTCAAAGAAGAAGACCTGTACTTGAAATCCAAAGCTATGTTAGAAAAAGTCAGCAATGTCAGATTTGGCCCAGGTCACACGTCATGGGCTCTGCAGTATGAGAGGAAAAAAACATTCTGTCCTGATTATGAGTCTCTAACACTCACATACAAATTTGGAAAACTGTAATCAAACATTTAAGGAAGAACAACCCCACAGTTCATTAGTGGCTTCAAAACATTTATCCTTGATGTAGAACACAAAATCTTAAATGCATTTACTTTTGGGGAGAGGGAAAATAAAAACAAACAAAGAAAGGACTAAAAGTTGATTTTATTGGATGTATTTTGAAAGGAAACTAACAGAGCTGAGTATCAGAATTGTAAGGATTTTCACAGCACCTACCTAAACACAGAAACATCTTTCACAGAGCAGGCAACACTGTCAAGGAAAAATTAAATACACCTTCAGGAGCTGAAGATGAAAGGAAAAGCTTAGCAATAAATAGTTGTATCTTTTAAGTTAGACAGGGCAGACACCAGTGTTTATTCTGCCTTTACACAGCACCAGCTTCACTGAGATACAGGTACCAGGAAGACCGGCAGTCCATCATGTGATTTGTATGGAAAAACAACAATGCAAACATTTTAGGAGATACCGAAATAGAAAGCTAATACAATTAGTGGCCCTGAGTAATGATGTGATGACCATTACAAGGCACTTTTGGGTGAGCTAAGCCAAGTCCATGACTTTTGGCCATGGAAGTGTTCTAGTTCCATGTCCATTCATTTTCCATTGACCATTCTGGCGACCTTGGCTGCCCACTGAGTTTGCACCATAGCCAGTTCTATTTCTGACCACAAAGTGATCAGAACATGCAGCATGCTGAATGGCCAGGTCTTTGTTACCCTTGCTGTGAGTGAGTTTAGGGTCCTAAGCAGTTCCTGAAGCGCATTTGGACACTCACAAGTTTATGGGACTGGATGGGATTCATCCAGGGGAGCTGGAGCTGAGGGAGCTGGCAGAAGAGCTTACTAAGCCGTTCTCCATCATTTATTATCATTTAGTACTCAAGGAGCTGGGATTTTTTAGCTCGGAGAAAAGGAGGCTCAGGGGTGACCTTATTCCTCTCTACAACTACCTGAAAGAAGGGTGTAGCCAGGTGGGGGTCGGTCTCTTCTCCCAGTGACAGGATGAGAGGACATAGCTGGAAGGTGCGCCAGGGGAGGTCCAGGTTGGACATCAGGAGGAATTTCTTCACGGAAAGGGCTGTTAAACATTGGAACAGGCTGCCTAGGGAGGTGGTGGAGTCACTGGAGGTGTTCAAGAAACTTCTGGACGTGGCACTTAAGTGCCATGGTGTAGTTGACAAGGTGGTGTTCGGTCACACGTTGGACTCGATGATCTCAGAGGTCTTTTCCGACTTCAGCGATTCTGTGATTCTGCGATTTCGGGCATGGCTTCGGAGCGCTGCCACACACCTCAGTGCCCAGCTGCTCGTACCGACGGACCGCGACTTCGCCGCCCACCGCGCCCCGGCCTCGCCACTTCCCTCGGCGGCTCCCGTCGCAGCCCCGCCCGCAGCCCGCCCTCCCAGTGCTGGTGGAGGCGGTGACCCCCGAGGAAGAAGCGGGCGGCCACCACTGCCCCAGCAGATGGCGCGGCGGCTCCGGCAGGGCGGGGTTTGCTGTCTCCTCCTCCTCCTGCTCCTTCCCTTCCCTCTGGTTATGGCGTTCCCGGCTCTGACCTTCGTCCCGAGTCTGTGCTGGCGGTCGCCGTGCGGGATAAGGTGAGTCCCGATGGCTCCAGGGGTGCCCCGCGGAGCCCCTCGCGGGGGTGGCGCGGCCGGGGCGGGCAGCGCTGGGGCCGGGGGTGTCCGTACCCTGGGACTGGGCAGCCCCGTCTCCCCGCCGCCGGGGATCGGCGGGGAGACCTGGTGCTGCCCTGCCTGTGCCGCTGGATCAGCCGGGTTGACGTTCCCTGCATGGCCCCTGCCTTAGTGCGCTGGGCCAGACGTCGCTTTCATCCTAAAAACTGGGGAGATAGCTTTCTGCCTGAGCTGGGGACACCTCCAGCTGTACCAACCAGCTGTAACACTCCGCGTAACCTTCTCCTGTGGAGAGGAATGTGTGCTCTTGCTGCCAGCTGATCTCGGTTAATCACATTCCTAACCAAATTTACAGTTCCTAAACACTGGGGAAAACTGTAACTCAATTCCTTCCTTCAACTACAGTTTAAGCAATGCTAAGGACATTATTTTTAGAAAATGGTCAAAAATTAGATAGGCAAGCACGAAAATAATTCATGAAGAAAATTATGTTAACGTGTTTTTACATATTTTCAAGCTTACCTTATTAAGAAAAAAAGAAAAAAAACCGAAAAAAACCAAAACACCAAGGTCCAAAACTTTATTATTAGGCACACTGTTAAAACAATAAAGGCATGGATGAGGGGCAATGTTTCTTGTTTTCCTAAGCTTATTCAGTTACAGAAATCTTCCAGTCTCTGAGATTTTTTTTTTTTTTTTTAATCTCATGGTAGTTTACTGAACTATTACACTTTTTGTAAGTGATCTTCAAGTCTGATTTAAAAAATAATTGCAGTTCAGGTCTAGTACTTCCCATTAACATGCACCCAAGCTCTGCATGTTCCAGATATTACAACTGAGGTGGTAAAAAGTTTTCCCTCTCTGGGGGGAACAACTGAATATTGGTGTGTTGTGGTTTGTCAGCCAGCATCTTTGAGTAGTGGTATAGTAGCCTGTGTGCCAGCACCTTTGAAGAGTTTGTTTTGGGAATTGCGAACTTATTGCTGTGTACTGTACAAAATTAAGGGCTTGTTAGCCATCGCTCTTGTGGAAGTGTGCTGTAAGAATTTAAGGGCTTGTTGGCCAACACCTTTTCAGTCTGAATAGTGGGCTGGTTGCCAGAGTTATGGGGACTGTACAATAAGTTCCCAGACACATGTCCAGTGTCTTTGCTCAGCCTGACAAGGATTTATAATGAACATCATGCCCCTGACCAGTGGGTCGGGACAGCTGCCCCTGTCAGCAGCAACATGGTGGCAGAGGCCCATCCTCTGATGTGGTGGCGGTGACCGAGACTTCCTGTTTGTCCTCCAGTCTCTCTAGGGCCCCTGGGGTTTCCCTCTGGTCCCCTTAACACCACAGTAAGCTGCTTGGAAACCCTTCCAAAACTATTATGGTGAGGGGAGGTGGTGATGCAGCAACAGCAGATGCCTTGTTGAGTGCCTGGACACCCATGGGGATGCAGAGTTGGGGCCACTCTTTCTGTGCCCTGTCCTCGCTGTGTGGTGGAGGGACTGCCCTGAGGAGAGACAAATGAGGCTTCTCCTGGGAAAAGCCTCAGCAAGGGGTCAACTTCTCAAACAAACCTGGATCTGTGGTGTGCTGAGGGGAAGTTGTCCTGCAGGCAGTGGTACAGGCCAAGCAGGATGCAGTCTGCTCAGGATGCTGCACATCTGAAGGACACCATGGGTTTGGACCTATTGTTTCAGATTTATTAAATCACAGCCATCCTCCAGCTGGCTCAGCGACGCCAGAAGAACAGTGTACATAGATTGAATCTTGGTTTTTGCTGTAGATTTAAAGCCCTCAGGATCAAGATGGTCTGAGTTGCCAGGCAAGAGACGATTTCATTGCTGTCTGTCTGCAGGGGCTGAAGGGCTGACACCAAAAGAAACAGAGCTGAGATGAACCCCTGTGTCTGCAGAGGCCCCCAGACATCCCCTCCAGCCCATGTTCCCCACTCACTGCTGCAGATCTCATCCACATAGGCATGCTTTGGTCCCTCAGGTGCTGTCAGCCCCTGTCAGCCCCTGTTCCCCAGTGTGCTCCCAGCAGCACAGCCCCTGGCCCTGCCCTCCTCCCCCTCAGCAGGGATGACCCCAGGAACCACCAGTAGCTCATGGGGGTAGAACTGAGCAAGGTGGCCACCAAGCCCACCTGTGTGGGCAGGGGTGGCAGAGGGAGGCCGAGGCCCAGCATGCAGCAGCTGGGGCTCGGGCAGCTCCAGGGCTGCACTTCCCTGTCAGTGCAGGAGCAGGGATGGGGGCCAGGTTGCCCAAAGAGGGACCCCAGGGGCTGGGGCTCACCAATGAACCTGGTGGCCGCCTCTTGCAGAGTGGCCTCAGGGTCCTCGAGGTACATCAGGCCCTGACACAGGCACTCTTCAGCCCTGCTCCTGTCCTTCCCTAGCTGGAGAGAGCACAAGGACTTGGGCATGTCACAGAGCCCCCCAGTTGGCTGCAGCAGTCCCTCCTGGCAGCACTCACTGTTGCCGAAAGCCCTCTCTCCCACTGGGTGCAGGGAAGGGAGAGGGGCCTGGAGATGAGCCCTTGGGGCTCTGTTCTTGGAGCACATAAACTGGAGTGCAGCTCCAGGCTCTGGGCTGCAGCAGGGCAGGTAAGGCCCAGCTGCAGAGCCCACACCCTGGGCTTTGGGTGCGGGGCAACCCTCACCCAGCCTGCTCCCTGGTGCTTTTCCTTACCAAGCACTCACCAATCCTCCATGTCTGATGTGTCTGCACCAGGTCTTTGAGCTCCCTCCACCTCAGGAGCTTTGCAGCAGCAAGGAGCTCTTCTTTGGCGGCCTGCATAGCAACAGGTGAGATAGCATCATGGCTGGCAAAGGACACCTCTTGACTTTGTTCCTGGGGTGATCCTGCACTTAGGAAGCTGGGGCTTCCCTTGACAAAGCATCTGGGTGTCTCTTGGGAACAGCCCCAATGGACTGAGGCTCGCAGCCCTGCCTCTCGAGGTGGCCCAGAAGGCACATATCAGGGACAGCAGAGAAGCCTGTGGGGATGTGCCTGTTCAGGCTTTGGTGGTCACAGGCTGCTGACAAGACCTACTGGAGCCATAGGGCATGTATTGGAAATGGCTGTGCCAGCTTCTCCATCCCTGCTCACGCTGGTTCTGTGGGGACCTTTCCCACAGGTTGTGCTGGGGAAGGGCTGCCCACTGCCAGCAGCCCTTGCCCTACTGCCTGGGCCCCCCAGGGAGGGTCAGCCCACCCCTCTGTGTGACAGTGCTCAGCCTTGAAATCTGTATCTTGGCCACCCTGGGGGGCTGGCTGCTCATGGGAAAGAGCAGCGGGACCAGTGCACTCCATATACAGTTCTTCCATCTCTTCTTGTTCCTCACCACCGCTGACCCCACGTGGTCTCTGAAGAGGCAGATTGAGGACTCTCAGATCTCGCTGCTCTCCTGGCAGGAAGGAGGAAGGGTGAGCTTCAGAAACAGTGGCCACCTGCCCATAGTGAAGGGGGGTGGTGATCCTGGCTGAGGGAGATGCCCACAGTCAGATTCCAGAGCAGGGAGAAGTAGCATTGGGCTGCAAGGCCCGGAAGCCACAAGAGCTGAGTGGAGCAGAGCCTACTCCGAGTGCTCCTCACAGGGCTGGGCTGCAGGGCAGCTGTCATTGCCCAGTGCCCATCTCAGGTCCCACACTCCCACATCAGCCTTACTATGTCAAAGAAGCACGGAAGGTTCTCCACCAGATACTCATTGGTGGGGCTGGCCTTTTAATTCTTCAGGTTTTGATGTATCACATTTTTAATGATCATTGTGATGTTTTCCTTGAGATCTTCAGTGCCAAGCCACAGGAGCTCAATCATGTTAGCATGAGGAGCTCCATTTTTCTTGCTTGTATGACAGACAGAGGGTTTTTTTTGTGATGAGATTCATGCCTGGAAAGCTCCCCAGGCAGCCACCAGGCCCCAACATGGCAGTAAGGGTGTTTGGAGCAGTCACCCCACCACGTGACTCCCAGCCCACGCCAAACCACTGCCCTACCCCCAGCCCCAGACCCCTGGATGCCAACATGGCTGTCCCTGATGCCATCCTGCTCACCTCAGGTCGGGTGTCTCTGACAGCATGAGGAGGCCTTCAAATACCTGGGAGGCTGGGAGTGTTGGAAGCTCCTCATCGATGTTGAAATCGTCATCCAAATCATCATCCAAATCATCCAGCTGAAACTGCGTGCTACTGTCACTGGGGAATGGCCGTAGAAGCAAGCACAGTAGTAAGATACTGGCAGAGTCTGCAGGGCTCGTGGCAGGGGATCAGGTGTTTTTCTGGTAACTCACAGCCAAGTCAGAGATGGAGCTGCTTTCTGAAGAAGAAGAGCTGGGACTACTGGGCAACCAGTTGACCTAGAACAAGACAGAGAATGCTCATAATATCCTGCGTGTCATCTTGGGCTCAGAGAAGATCTGTGCTATGGTTGCATGGCCACTGCAAGGCAGAGCACTGTCAGCAGGGCTGCCTTGACCACAGCATGGCCTGGGCCAGCCCCACGTGGCTTGGGGTGCCTGGGGGCCCTGTCTGGGCAGGTAGGAGGGGGATTGAGGTGGTGTTCCCCATGGGGCTGGGAGCAGCATGGTGGCTCTGGGCTGGCTCAGCCAGCTTTGGCTGCTGCGGGCCCAGATAACCCACCAGGGCTGGAAAGCCTGGTGGGATGGAGAACCCTGCTCCTTAAAGGTGTCCTGCAGCACTCCTTGGGTCTGGGAGCCAGAGAGTCTCAGAGTCCCTCTCTCCACAGCGACCAGGGCCAGTACCTGTCTCCTTGTGGAGCGATGCTCAACAGTGTTGTGACTACCTTCCTGGGGAAAAACTCAGCTACCAGGAGAAGCAGCGAGTCAAAGCAGTGCTGCTTTGGTCCTTCCTTGATGCTTTGCAGGCTTTCGTGCACAAAGCTCACAATCTTTGGCACCTGGAGGGGACACAAGTGAGGATAGTGCTGCCACTGTAGTGCAGCCTCAGCTGCCCTTTCCATACCTCTCTTCTACCTTAAGGTGCCTTCAGGTGCCTGAGACACCTGGGTTTGGGAGGGAGGGATGGAGGGAGGAACAAGGCCTTAAAGGGCTGAAGGGCAGGGCAATCCAGCCACAGGCCACTTAGATCTGTTAGCAAGGGGCATGGGTTATATGTGGCCACCCACAAAAAGTGTTTTGTGGTATTCCAGCAGCCTGTGCAGTTTTTTTCATTTCCTCCATGGCTGCAAGGATGATGTGTGTCCTCTCAGAGCATGTGAGGTACCTTTCAAAGGGCTGTGGCAGGAAGAAAGAGAGTAAAGATATCATACAAGCTATCTAATAGTGCTGCTTTGCTGGGCATTGAGAGCAGCCCGGGCCAGAGGTGCCCAGCAGTGCCATCAGCACTGCCCACAGTCACTGTGTGTGGGAGGATGAGAGCAGAGGGTCCTCAGGCTGAGGGAGGAGATCTGGGCTCATGGTCATGGGGTGCTGGCCCTGCAGAGGACCAGGGCTCACTGGTGGGCAGGAGAGCTGGAGCTGCTGCTTGGGACACCAGAGTGCTGCCCTCGGATAGTCCCTGCTTGGGGACAGCAGGAACCCTCTCATCAGGGACAGTGAGGCCATGTCAGTCCCACTTAATCTGGGTCCCTTTGCTCACATAAGTGCTCTGCTGAAGGCATGGACAAGAGTCTCAGCAAGGGGGGAGCTTATTATCTTGGTATGGTACTTTTTGGAAGTCGTCAGCAAGGAGCTGATTTCACCTTCTGCATGGTGTGCACAGCGTTTACCTCTTAGCCTTCTCCTGCCTAAAGAGCAGGGCAGACATGGAAGTCAGTAAGACAGAGTAGCTTTGCCATCAGGCTTTCCAAACTACTCTGAGATCTGCTTGTGAGATGGCAGGACAGGAGATTGTGGAGGGTGTCAGATTGGGGTCCACAAACTGGCAGGATTGAAGATGGTGAAAGGAGCAGGGAAGAAGAGCAGCAGAGAACAGATCCAAGACATGAGGAGTGCACTCGGCTTCTACAGCGAAAGAGAGCTGGGATAGTACAGAAAGCAGCCAGAGGGGCAAAGGTGGTCAAGCAGAGAAGCAGAGCTGTGAGGTGATGTCTGTGTGCAGAGGGATGAAGGCCACCACAGTGTCCCTTAATTTTTTGCTTACGGATGAATTCGCTGAGGTGATGAATAGCCTTCTTTGCTATAGGTCTCATTTCTGAGGATTGCAAAAGGAGAATATGTCCCAGCAGCTGTCTGAGGAATGAGATCTTGATGTCATCACAGTGGAGTCCTCTTTTTTAAGGTGGTCCTACGTGAGGGAGGAAGAAGAGCAGCAGGGCTGAGGGCGGGCAGCTGGTGCCAAAGCCTCATACCCAAGAGTGTGCTCAGGGCTGTATCCCTGGTGAGTCTAAGCTTTGCAGGGCTCTGTGGCCCTGTCTCCTGGAGCAGTCATCTGGGCAGCAGCCCTGCCAGGGAGAGCAGCAGAAAGAGGGGCACAGCATGGCTGGAGGGTTCCTAGGCCTTACCTGCCGTTCGGAATAGCTGTCCATCCATTTGCTCAGTGTGCAAATCCTCTCCGTGGCTGCAACCTGCACCTCAGTTCTCTCATACCTTGTAAAGTCCAGCAAAGAGAAGCTGCTGGTGAGCCCTGGGAGCAGATACTCACTCCAACAGCAGCAGCGCAGCTCTGCTCCTGGGTGGGACTTGCACTGTCCCTCAAGGCTTTCTCTGACCTTGAGCAAAGCCTGTAGCGGGGCTCCTGCCTCTGGGGTCCCTTGTGGGCCCAGAACAAAGGCCCTGGGCCAAGCTTTGGCTCACCCCCACAGGGTGAGGAACAGCCCTGGGACTCCCACTCTTTGCACAGGCCAGACCTGCAAGATGTTCTGCAGCTCCTTGTTAATTCTTGAGGGAGGAGTGTTCGATACTATTGCCTTCAGCATGGAGTCCGTGGCTGCCAGGGTCTGCAAGGAGGACAGAGAGCGGTGGCAGTGATTCTTCACCCCCAGGAGACTGATCTGAGCTCCCAGTGCCAGGGAAGGAGAGGTGCCCGCGCTGCCCAGGAGACACCTAGGAGCAGGCAGTCTACTACAGGTAGAGCAGCCTGCAGTACTGGATGTGGCTGGGCCCTGGGAAAGGGATGACGGGATGAGGGCAGGAAAGCAAAGCTGAGACCCTGCCCTGCCTTGGACCTCTGGTCACGGGGCAGTGCAGGATGGCCAGAGAGCAGCCCAGAGGGACTGGTGGCTCCTGCAGCTCACCCAGCACTTACCTCCTCCCTAGACTTCTGTGTCCCCCTTACTGATATGTTTTCTTTAGGAAGGAAGAGAACAGCACTGAAGCAGGCTTCTAGGAGTCTTCTCTTTTTGCCCTCCAGCACCTTTTCCACTGGTCTGAAGAGAAAGGGCTCAACTGGACAATAATGGTGGGCTTCCAAGATATCCTGAACGATTAAATGGCAACAAAGAGATGTCTGAAGTAAGGAAATAAATATGAAATGATTGTCAGCCTGGATGTTTCAGGTTCAGGTAGCGATGACCAGGATTTATTTCTGTTTTCAGAGTGTACAACAGGCGAACTACCCAGTGAATGATCTTGCAGGAGTGCGCAGGCATTTGTCATGGACTGTCACTGCTCTGCCAAGTTGTGACTCCTCTTGCTTCTCGCTCTCTCGTGGGAGCTGGCTTTTTACCCAGCTAGGTGAGGTTGCCGGGCCCTCACCACTCTTCTATGAGTGTCGCTAAAGCAAAGGTAATTTGTAGCAGTGGGGCAGTGGCAGCTAATTGCCCATACAGGGTGCAGGGCAATAAAGAGGAGGGTTTGTGTTATAGTTTCATACTTTTTGGTGAATTTTCCACAGAGAGCCTAGTCTCTGCTAGGGTAAGATAAACATCAAGCTTCATTGTTTTTCTAGCTCGGGCCTTAATGATTGTCCTATCGAAAAACTAAATAACTTCGGCACACTGGCTAAATCGCTTAAGGGAAGCCCCATCCCCGCTGTAGCAGAGGAGCTCCTGTTCGTGTGTCCCCGCCCCTCTCCCCGCTCCGGAGAACTGTGAGAGAATCCTTGCGGTGCTCACCCCGGG